ATGGCTAATGCTTCTATTAATTACCGAACCGGGGTGATGGACATAGCCTTTGGAAACATTTATGTCAAACTCCACATCTTCCATGCAACTCAACATCCTTCCAACGAGGATGATTGTTTTCTTATTGATGTAGTTGATGAAGTGGTTGAAGAATCTCTCCCCTTCATTCTAAGCAAAGATCTTCTTGAAACTTGCATATCTCACTTCGACTTCTCAAACTTTGATATTGACCAATCCATCCAAGAAGTCAATTCTTTACTTGACATTGGTGCTATCATGGATCCTCCTCCTTGGAAAATACTAACAGAACCACTTCCTCAACTTTCCACTACTCCTCTGGTCCCATCATTGAAATCTCCACCACAACTTGAGTTAAAGCCGCGTCTGGCCTACCTCAAGTATGTATTTCTTGGTGCAAATCAAACTCTTTCAGTCATCATTGCATCGGACCTCTTGAAGGACCAAGAAATCAGCCTTTTGGCGGTGCTACAAGAGCATAAAGAAGCTATTGGTTGGGCAGTGGCTGATTTGAAAGGAATTAACCGCTCTATTTGTATGTATCGCATTCATATAAAGGATGGCGGAAAACCTTCTAGAGAGGTCCAGCGCCGGTTGAATCCTAATATGAAGGCAGTGGTCATGAAAGAAGTGATCAAATTGCTAGATGCGGGAATCATCTACCCTATCTCTGATAGTAAGTGGGTAAGCCTCACTCAAGTTGTTCCCAAGAAATCTGGCTTCACTGTTGTTGAAAATTCAGCAGGAGAACTCGTGCCACAACGCGCCACCACCGGGTGACGTGTGTGCATTGACTACTGGAAACTCAATTCTACCACTAGGAAGGATCATTTTCCACTCCCATTCATTGATCAAATCCTAGAAAGGCTAGCCGACCAAAGCTATTACTGTTTTCTTGATGGTTATTCTGGCTATAACCAAATGGCAGTCGCCCCCCAAGATCAAGAAAAGACAACTTTCACATGTCCCTTTGGAACTTTTGCCTATAGACGCATGCCCTTTGGGCTATGTAATGCACCGACAACAAACCAAAGGTGCATGATGTCTATATTTTACGATATGGTTGAAAAGTTCCTGGAAGTTTTCATGGACGATTTCTCCGTTTTTGGATCCTCCTTTGACTCGTGGTCTCCATAGTCTATCCCTTGTGCTTCAAAGATGCAAGGAGACAAATCTTATTCTAAGTTGGGAGAAGAGTCACTTTATGGTCCAAAAGGGCATTGTCTCGGGACATGTCATTTCAAAAAGGGGAATTGAGGTTGACAAAGCCAAAGTCGAGTTGATCTTTAACCTTCATTTTCCAAATTTTGTCCGGCAAATCCGTTCCTTCCTTGGACATGCCGGTTTCTATCGTCGCTTCATCAAAGATTTTAACAAAATCTCTCGGTCCTTGTGTAATCTTCTTGCCAAGGATGTTCCGTTCAATTTTGATGAGGCTTGTTTGGAAGCGTTCATGAAACTTCGTACTCTTTTCTCATCCGCCCCAATCATGAAACCGCATAATTGGTTTCTTCCATTTGAGATCATGTGTGATGCATCCGATTATGCATTAGGTACAATTTTGGGCCAGCGTGTGGACAAGCTTCCGCATGCTATCTATTATACTAGCAAGACTCTCTCTAATGCTCAGTTGAATTACATTACCACTGAAAAAGAATTGCTAGCTATGGTGTACGCCTTGGATAAATTATGTTCTTATCTTCTTGGATCCAAGGTCATTGTTTTTTCGGATCGTGCCGCTCTTAGGCATTTGCTCGCCAAAAAAGAGACCAAACCCCGCCTAATTCGATGGATACTCTTACTTCAAGAGTTTGACATTGAAATTTGGGATAAAAAAGGGACAGACAATGTTGTCGCTAACCATCTCTCTCGTCTACTCATTGAGAAATCTTTCAAATTTGCTGCAGTTCGTGACTCCTTCCCGGATGAGCAACTGTTTCAGATTTCTTATTCAAGCCTGCCTTGGTTTGTGGATATTGTCAACTATTTAGCAGTCGGAAAAATTCCATCCAATTGGTCAAAACAAGAGAAAGACCGGTTCTTTTCCCAAGTCAAAAATTTCTTTTGAGAAGATCCGGAGTTGTTCAAATATTGCCCGGATCAAATCATTCGGCGATGCATCCCTGAAACTGAAATCACAAGTGTCTTAAATTTCTGCCACACTCTTGCTTGCGGGGGACACTTCAGTGCCAAAAAGACCGTTGACAAAGTCCTTCAAAGCGGACTCTATTGGCTGTCTTTGTTTAGAGATGCTTACAACTTTTGCAAGTCATGTGAGCGCTGTCAAAGGCTCGGATCCATGTCCCGAAGAGACATGATGCCTCTCACTTCCATCCTAATTGTTGAAATTTTTGATGTTTGGGGGATCGACTTCATGGGACCATTTCCATCTTCGTATGGCTATGAGTATATCTTTGTAGCGGTGGATTATGTTTCCAAATGGGTTGAGGCTGAGGTTACCAAGACCAATGATCATAAAGTTGTGATTAAGTTTATTCAATCCAACCTTTTTAGTCGTTTTGGTATGCCCTGAGCACTCATCAGTGACGGTGGATCTCATTTTTAAAATCGTTGTCTCAAATTTGTCCTCTCTAAGTACTCCGTCATTCATAAGGTTGCCACACCTTACCACCCTCAAACAAGTGGTCAAGTGGAAGTATCTAATCGGGAGATTAAGTATATCTTGGAAAAAATGGTTCGACCTGACCGCAAAGATTGGTCATTAAGACTAAACGATGCGCTTTGGGCCTACCGGACAGTTTACAAGATTCCCATTGGCATGTCGCGATATCGACTTGTCTTTGGCAAAACTTGTCATCTCCCAGTTGAGTTAGAGCACCGTGCTTATTGGGCTATAAAAAGGCTCAACTTTGATCTCAAACAAGCCGGCTCTACTCGCAAATTGCAACTCAATGAGCTTGAGGAAATTCGAAATGATGCGTATGAAAGCGCCAAAATCTATAAGGCAAAGACTAAAGCTTTTCATGATAAGCACATTGTCAACAAGTCTTTTGCCCCTGGAAAAAAAGTTTGGCTATTCAATTCTCGCTTGAGACTCTTTCCCGGTAAACTTCGTTCACGATGGGATGGTCCATATATCATTACGCCCGTCTTTCCTCATGGTGCAATAAAACTCCAAGATCCTACCGATGGATCTCTCTCTAAGGTTAACGGCCAACGGCTTAAGCCTTATGTTGATGGCATAGTCCCCATCCGCAAAGTAGAGAAAGTCCTATTAACGGACCCAATTCACGAGGACTAATGCGCAATCTTGGTTCGTCTAGCTATCGACGTTAAATTTAGCACTCGTGGGAAGAAATTCTTTCAACTTCTGAGCTTCCCTCTTCCAAGTTGCCAATAGTCAACATCTTTCTGGAAATCGAGACTATGGTTTAACGGATTAAAAGTCGAGGCTAGAATTTGATTCTATATCCTTAAGACAGATTCGCCCCGCTATGGTGCTAATGGATTCAGTGGCGTCTATCTCCCAGGATACAACGACTTGTCTTCCTTCGCCGGTAGCACTGTAAACCAAAGGAATAGGCGAACTGGCTCAGTGTAGTACTCTCTGACTCGAATTCGAACTCGGAGTCACTGGCTAAGGCTCGAACTCAAAGACTAGGGCTCGAATCCACGGACTAAAGAGAGAAGGAAAAAAAAGTAAATTCAGAAGAAGAGAAGAATTCTCTGAATTTTGGTGTGATTTGCAAATGATCCAAAGGGGGGTATTTATAGGTAGCAAGGTGCCTTTTCGGGTGGGTGTAACCATGGGTTATGATGGTTTGGAACAAGGTGCAACCTTTTGGAAAAAAACTAAAAAGTGGTTTTTAATTTAAATTCAAAAAATCAACCACCCAATAAACTAACCACACATTTAAATAAGCCCAGCCCAAATATAGGCTCAATTCAAAATTCCATTTTGTAAAAAGAATAACCGGACTTTACAATTAGCCCAAGCCTAAGTCCAAGCCCAAGCCCAAGCTTGACTTATTTAAACTTCAATTTGTTTCAACATTTTTTCCATTTAGGCTTATCAAATACCTCACTTTGGATCTAATTTTTCATTCACCCGGAAACGGATTTGAGAAAGTAAATATACCACGTTCATCTCCTTGCGGAGAGGAACGCGCTCGTCTATAGATTAGCAAAAAATTCTTAGCGAAATCTATTCAAAATCTCATCCAAAATTTATGTTTTTAAGGCCCCCGTTTCCGACACTATTCTCCTTTTATTTATTTATTTTTGATTTTTATTGATTGTAAAAAAACATAGATAAAAAAAAAAACACATATTCTACATTAATATTTTGATGAAAATATACATTCTTAGATAAGATATTAGATGAAATCAAAATAATTAAATTTGAATTTAATAGCATATATTAATAATCTATATAAATAAACCGGCAAAAATGTTGAATAATTCAATTAAGTTCTCACATTGACAACTTCATTCTTCTTGTTTCGTTTCTTCCCTTAATTTGCTTTCTTTCTAATGATATTTTTCCAAGAAAGTTGTAGATAGACAGAGTTTTGAAGGGCAGGGACCTTTGAAGCATTTTTTTTTTCTTTGAAAAGTCAAAGCTGATATTCTGTATAATTCATGGATCAAGTAAAACTAGATAAACCAAATACTACTAAATAAGTTATGCACTACCCTTCGAAAAGAACAAAAAAACAAAAAAAAATTATTTGTATTACTAAAAAGATTGCTCTGTCTTCCACAAAACGAAAATTCAAACTGAGGGCTCCAAGAAACAGATTTGGCTATGAAAAAAAATAAAAAATAAAACTCCTTGGACCAATTAACTATTGCAATATTTATGATGTAGAGAAGTGTAAGGAAAGAACACTGAATTTTCAGCTGTGGCCGTGGGCCACCCTTCAATCCATCCAGTGGTGGAAGACCTTCGCATTTGGTTCAAAGTTTTCAGCTCTTATGTCAAGATGCACGAGGAAATTGACACCTGAAGTATTCAGCTGTACGTGGGTACCCCTTTGGAAAAAAGGAAAGAATGCTACTGAATTATTCAGCTGTGGGTCCTCCTTCAATCCATCCAGTGGTGGAGGAACCGTCGGCTCCCCATTTTGTCAAGGAAATGCATGGATGTCCTTTGAAAGCAGATGAGAAGACATCACACTATCCATTTTCACCAACAAGCACTCAACAGAGTTATTGGACTTGCCATGGTTCAAGCTAGCTTAATAACAAACGTAGTAGAGAATTTTGCACTGCCATAGACACAGTTACATCAACTCAACCCATCAATCACCCTGAAGCTATAGTCTCCAATTGAATTGTACTTTGGCAACAGATGAGAAGATATATCACACCTTCCATCTTCACCAACAAGCACTCTACAGAGTTATTGGACTTGTAATGGTACGTACAAGCGTATTGCCTCTTTGTCTAATCCTTGTTCTCTTATCTTACTATTTTTGTACCATAGAAATTTGCACTGCCATAGACACAATTACATCAACTCAACCCATCAAAGACCCTGAAGCTATAGTCTCCGATGCTGCCACCTTCAAACTGGAATTTTTTAGTCCTGTTAATTCTACCAACCGGTATGTTGGTATCTGGTACAACGAGATCTCTGCGAATGCTGTGGTATGGGTCGCCAATAGAGATAAACTTCTCAATGACACTTCTGGGACACTGACAATATCCAAGCATGGAAATCTTGTAGTCTTGGATGGACAGAAACAGATTGTTTGGTCATCAGATGTTCCAAATTCTTTGACGAATTCAAGTGCCTGGCTTTCAGATTCTGGGAATCTTATCTTGCGAGATGGCTCCAATGGAAACATAATATGGGAGAGTTTTGAACACCCTTCTGATTCTTTCTTGCAGGGGATGAAACTTAGTACCAACAAGTTTAAAGATGAGAAGGTTCAGCTGACCGCATGGAAAAGCCCTTCAGATCCATCCACTGGAAGTTTCACTTTTGGCATCAATCCTCTGAATATTCCAGAAAGTTATGTATGGAATGGTAGTCATCCATACTGGCGCAGTGGCCCATGGAGTGGGCAGATTTTTATTGGCATACCTGGCATGATTTCTGCATATTATGGCAGATTTGAAATTGTAGATAATAATAACGAAGGAACCGCAGACCTAAGTTACACATATACAAACAAGTCTTCTCTGTTATGCCTTACCTTAATTTCTAACGGAACTCTAATTCAGAAGCAAAAGGAGGTAGGAAAGGGGACTTGGGAAACTATGTGGTCCTCTCAAGAAACTGAATGTGACGCATATGGCAAGTGTGGTCCATTTGGAAGCTGCAATATTGTAAAGGGTTCACCAATTTGCACCTGTTTACAAGGTTTTGATCCAAAGGATAGGGATGAATGGAGTAGAGGAAATTGGACCAGTGGATGTGTAAGGAGGAGGCAATTGCAGTGTGAGAGAAACAACAGTGATGGTGGTGAGAGGAGCAAAGAAGATGGGTTTCTGAAGCTAAAGACAGTGAAAGTGCCGGCCTTTGCTGAGTTGCTAATTGCTTCACAAGATAACTGCAATAGCCAGTGCTTGAATAATTGTTCTTGTATAGCTTATACATATTATAGTGGCATTGGTTGTATGAAGTGGAGTGGAGAATTAATTGACATAAAGGAATTTTCCTATGGTGGGGCAGATCTTTACATTCGTGTGGCAGATTCAGAACTTGGTAATTTTGTTCATCATCCGTAAGAAAATTAAATAATAATCCTTTTTAGTTTCTGTTTGTTTTACTTGTTGATTCCGAAAAGCATAAGTATTTTAATCCATATTAACTCAGGTACTCTCTCAAATTTTGTTGTGTTTTACAGAAAAGAGGAGAAGCTCTAAACTAGTTGTCATAATTGCAGTGCTCGTAGTGTCAGTAACTGTTGCAATCTGCGTCTATCTTTCCTGGAGGTGGATGGCTAGACGACGAGGTATATGCCCATTAAATTAGCTAAGGAGATTAACACATATTTACTGTTACTAAAAAGATTACCCATTACTAAATTCTGAATCAGGAAGGAAGAAAAAAAGTGTCATCTTGCTAACTGAAAGAGGGGAAGGGAATCCAGAATATTGTTTGAATCAAAACATGCTTGGAGATAATTTGAATCAAATAAAATTTGAAGAGCTACCTATATTCAGTTTTCAGAAACTGGCAATTGCAACAGACAATTTTGATGTGGCTAATAAGCTTGGGCAGGGTGGTTTTGGTCCAGTGTACAAGGTCATGTTTATTCATATGGAGCTTTTCGCTGTAAAAAAAAAAATAATAATAATAACTTTCATCTTTAATTTTAGGAAAACTGTCTAGCGGACAAGATATAGCTGTCAAACGGCTTTCGATATCCTCTGGACAAGGGTTAGAGGAGTTTATGAATGAGGTTGTGGTAATTTCCCAACTCCAGCATCGCAATCTTGTTAGACTTCTTGGATGTTGTGCGGAAGCAGAAGAAAAGATGTTGATCTATGAATACATGCCAAATAAAAGCTTGGATGCATTTCTCTTTGGTTAGTTCATGATAAAGTTACTTATGTTATTTCTATTTATTTCAATTTCATAACCTTAACATCTGCAAGAACTTCTTGTGTTGAGAGTACAGAATGTCTTTCCTTTTGTAGTCTTTAGGAACATACTAGTCTTATAAAACTATAATTTGTCTCAACAACAATTTCACTCTCCCTACAACTTTAACTACCTTTTGTTTTTTTCCTTCAATATTCTTTCAGATCCAATCAAGAAAAAACTGCTTGATTGGAAAAAACGTGCCAACATTATTGAAGGAATTGGTCGAGGCCTTCTTTACCTTCATAGGGATTCCCGATTAAAGATTATTCATAGAGATTTAAAGACGAGTAATGTTCTGTTGGATGAAGATCTTAATCCAAAAATTTCAGATTTCGGCATGGCAAAGATTTTTGGAAGCAACCAAGACCAAGCCAACACTAGAAGGGTTGTTGGAACATAGTAAGTATCCTTTGCTTTGTCCGAAATGATAATCATTCATGTTATATTCCTTCTTTCTCATGGGATGGTTCAACTCAAATAATTTTACTATTTGGGCTATAATGACACAATGCAGCGGTTATACGTCACCTGAATATGCAATGGAAGGGCGATTCTCGGAAAAATCTGATGTCTTTAGCGTTGGAGTAATATTGTTAGAGATTATAAGTGGGCGAAAGAACACTAGCTTTTATCACGATGAGCACTCCTTAAGCCTTCTAGGATTTGTAAGTTCGTTCACCTAAAGTGTTGCCTCTGTTACTCTATAGTTCCTTTTAATCTTTTAATTTCAACATTTGATGGTTGTGTTACTGTGTGTCCAGGCATGGAAGTTGTGGAATGAAGATAGGATTGTAATGCTGATAGATCCAACAATTTCTGATCCACACTTCCAAGTGGAGATCTTGAGATACATACATGTAGGTCTGTTATGTGTCCAAGAATTCTCGAGAGATAGGCCAACTATTTCTACTGTTCTCTCAATGCTTGGTAGTGAAATTTCTAATCTTCCAACTCCAAAGCAACCTGCCTTTACCGAAAGAGAGATTCTCTCAAACATAAGCTCTTCTCAACAGGACCATAAGAGTTGTTCTGCAAACAATGTCACAGTTACAGTCATTGAAGGCCGTTAGCATGTATGTACCCTTTTGCTTGTTTCGTTCCTAATGTACACTGCAATTGAATGTACAAAGTAAGTTTTGTTTTGCCCATTGTTGTTGTCATTGTTTTAGTTTTGTTTTGCACATTGTTGTTGTCATTGTTTTTCAAAAGCTAGCCTTTGCCTTGATCCATTCATGTTGATGCTTTTGGGAGAAAACCTATTTCTATAATTCATCTAAGTCTTCCAATCTTTGGGTCACTCAGACAACTTCTTACTTTGCATTTCATATGAAAAACAAGCTTTCAAATAACTGGTCCAATTCCATGCATGAAAAGGTGACTCTTGGAAGCTTCAATTCCTTTTGTCAATGGTGCATGAAACACATTGCTACTCCATGGATGATTCATTTTTCTTGTAGGTCTTATTCCTTGAGTAGTTCTCTTTATTCAGAAATTTCTTGCCAATGTTGTTTGGGTTTGCAAACATGGGAAATATTATTTGATTTTATTTAATTTAATTACATTCTTTGATAATTCTAAATTTCCTGGGCAACTTGAGTAGTCTTGTTCTCTCAACAATTTGACAAGTCAATAATAGAAAATGCATGTGGCTGAGTTTTTTTTCCCTTTGATAATTCTAATCATGACTGATTCATGAACGGACATGTTGACACGCCCTTATGATAAATTTTTCGTCCACTAAAAAAGAAAAATTTTAGCAATTTTTTATATGGTCCTGAAAATAATTAGCATCTAATTTGCTCTGTATACTTTAGGGAAAATGATAGGTTTAGGGTTTAGGGTTTAGGGTTTAGGGTTTAGGGTTTAGGGTTTACCCAAGGCACCTCCATGGCGTCACGAGAAGAGGATTGGCTAATTATCCATGACCACAAAGCACCTCCTAGGCGTCGCATTCGGCCTAGTTAGCTCAACCATACTCCCCTCTAGACTACATTAACACCACGGACCACTAGACGCCTCCTAGGCGTCCGGTTTTCGTAAACACTTTTTAAAATATTTTCCCAAAATCATTTCATTTGCTTTCAAAACAATGCTTTCCCTTATTCCTTGCCCAATGCTATGTATGAATGTATTATGTTTTTCAACAACCATAAAGGGGAATCACATACCACATAAGTCACGTGTTCACAATATAGTAAGCTTTGTAGGAAATTTCTACTAATAACTAACATGTCTCTATATAGAAAATCTAGCAAATCCAACATAATAGGTATAGAAATTCACCACTTAAACATGCTTTTTCATACAACATCAATTATGTGATACCCCTCGGATCCAAGACACGGGTTGATCAGGCTCAGGCCCAAACCCAAAGGAAAAATCAAACAATTAATATTTAATGAACACATAATACAAAATGGATTAACACCATGAAAGTTATTTCATGAATTTTACCTTGAAAAATGTGGCAGCTGAATCCATATTGAAAAGAGTAGATATAGACTTACTTAGGAAACACAGCTCTCTATATGTCTGGGAGGAAAAAAATATGATACCCATAGGCATAAAAAGAGAGTGATTTTGAGAGGTAAAGGAATAATTAATATACATCGAATAAATTTTTATTCATGATTTGAATCTTGAATGATACGTGGCTCTCAGTTATATGCCAAAATTTATATATATATATGGCATCACATATATGGAAGATTATGTCGTGTTTAAAAATTTATTAGAGTTAGATCAACTATTTCTATGTTATGTTTGAGAGTTTGAATTTGAAATTTGAGATTTGAGATTTGAGGTAAGTGAAAATTTTGAACTAAAATTTCTTCGATTCAAAATTCAAAACCTGAGTTTGATGTTCGCAAACAAGTGTCATTTCAATGCTTAATGGTGAAATTCACTGTCACTGCTTCTAAGCAAAAGTCAAAAGAGGTGTGCCGTGAACAATGCCAGAGATTCAATTATTAAAGGCCGATTAACATGTCCATTCTTGAAATTGTTTTTTTCCCTCATCCACACCTTAATTTCAATGCTTAATAGTATAGTTTTGTTTTACAATGTGTTTGTCAACAATTTTGTAAAAGTCAACTTTGGCCTTGATCACATTCATATTAATCCTTTCTGACTGAAGACGATCCTATGAACTAGGGTATTTTGGAAATGATATCGAATATATAAAAATAATAAAAAAATTCATAATTCTAAATAAGAAAGAATCATATTTTATCGGATTTGATGTACCTCCTCCAATAAATAGATGTTTTTGTTTTTCAAGTAAAACTTCTCGTCACTGGACTTCTAAACAATATTAACAAGCTCGGTCCGACTTAAAAAGATCTCCATCAAAATCGAGCCGAGGAATAAAATTCATCAACTTGCTCTTGATATATGCTATTTTTCAATCCATGGTTTAAGGCTCCCAAACCATGTTTGGGTTTTTTTTTTTTTTTTTTATAATAAAATTATGAATGGATTTGAATTTTTCAGATTTATTTTTATTATTTTTTTTAACAATAAATACATGTAGTTTAGAAAGAAAATATGTATTGACTAATAATATTTTCACAGTAGACTGAAAATTATTTATTCGTGAACGTTGATAACTTTCACGCATTGATCAACCACTGAAAGCGACGTTTTTTTATTTTGAGTTCCATTGTAGTGTGACATTCTTCAACTCTTTCAAATTGTTCAATAACATGAGAAGTCCTTACTTTTGAGAATTTTATTTTATTTTATTTTTCCATCTAAGTCCCAAATCTGCCATTGATACCAAACTAAAATATATACTCTTTGTTACATAAGATATAATCTCCTTACAAAATTGGACATAAATTTTGAATACAAAGAAAAAAATTCCATCTAAGTCCCAAATCTGCCATTGATACCAAACTAAAATATATACTCTTTGTTACATAAGATATAATCTCCTTACAAAATTGGACATAAATTTTGAATACAAAGAAAAAAAATACTTTTATTAATTTTTTAATAAAAAAATAGAGAATTATATATAACGTGTATGTAGTATATAAATATGCAAACCATTGATCAAGTGTGAGAATATAAGAGCGCTCCTTTTTATATATTTTTTATTTTTTAATTTATACGAGTTTGTAGAACAAAAGGACATATTTATTTCTCTGTAAAGTCATTTTTTATTTTTATTTTTTCAATTCCAAATGAATGCTTAATCCGAACAAAAGAATTATAATTGTAATTTAATTTTACATAAATTCTAAAATTGGTTCGAACGGTGTATTTAGAATTGAATTTATTGAATTTTAATTATATGAAATTAAAAGTCCAATTCAATTCCAATTTTGTGTAACCCAATGCTTCTTTAATTTATGGTCTGCATTCATCCGGAGAAAAAGATTGAAAATAAACTTAATTTTCAGCATTATAGTGAACAATGACCCCTTTGTGGAATAATCTAGCTAGGATATTTTCATTAGAAAACAAGAACTTTAATTTCAAGGTGTTATCAACACTCCACCACAATTGCCATTACTATATGCATGCTTTTATTATTATTATTTATTTTGCAAGGCATCACGGAAGACACTAAAAACAAGTAGCTTTGATTTGATAATTGGCTGGAAGTCGAGCCATTTTTCCATGATAGTACATACTTTTTGTTGTTGCATGTGGATTATAATTAATTTTGAGTTTGATTTTTATTTGTTTTTGTTAATCGAGCCGAGTCCGAGCCGAGCCCAAACTTTTAAAATTAAGATGAGCCTGAGCCTGAGCTTAAATTTTTGAGCTCGTTACGAGCCGAGCCCGAACCCGAGCTCGAGCAGACCCCATAAACAAACGAGCCGAGCCCGAGCAAACCCAAGCTCGGCTCGGCTCGGCTCGGCTCGGCTCATTTGTAGCCCTTGACTCACTCACGGGCTTTCAAATTTTTTTGGTTGCTCTTCAACGGGCTTTCAATTTTTTTGGGTTGTTATTTATTTTGTTATCAAATAATTATTGAATTGCCAACAATAAAAAAAAAAATTTGCGAAATGGGGCAGGCACGGGTTCATTTTGTAACTACCCAAATCCATTGGATTCGAATCATTAAACGGGTCCCTACCTGACCCAAAATCGTCCAAGGGTAATATAGTCCTTTCACGTTAAATTTGTACATTAAAGTCCAACAAGGACAAGATGGTCATTTGTCACAATTTTAATGATCTAAGACTAAAAGGGCCAAAATAGTCATTTACTTGTATCACATAATAAATAAGATAAAGTCCGGGGCAATATAGTCATTCCCATGGTTAAAATATAAATTTTTTATTTTACTGAACCTTATAATGTGTAACAATACACTTGAGTGAGTGGTCAAGGGCAAAATAGGAAAATAAGTCACAAATGTTTACTACACAAGAACTGGTCGATGTATGAGGAGTCACACGTCAACTGGTTTGGGACCTGAACAGTGGGCAACGTGACTGGTTCAAGACTTGTACAGTGAATATGCTCATTGCCAAGATACCGGTCGACGTGTGGGAGGCTACACGTCAACTGGTTCAGATCTTTCAGTCGACGTATGGAGTTTTACGTCGACTGGTTCAATTACTCACTGTCCAAAGAAAACCAATACACCAACATTTGATAACCAACCACTCACGCCACTACATTCACGTACTTATTTAATTACATTTTAATATCTAATACATTAACAACAACAACAATGTTAACATAAATTACCTCATGTTACTTAAAATGCACTAAAGAATTTAATGTGATTAAAACTTAATTACATTTCCCCAATGGTCATATACAAGATGAACCTAAATACATCACATGTTGCAAAATAATACTGAGTCAACATTATACAAAATTAAGCCCAAATACAAAAGATAGCAATAAGAGACATTTTCCTACTCCTAGTTAAGGCCGGAGTGGATTAACGTTTGCCACTTCTTTTCCCGAACCTGAAAATGTTAAAATAATGGGGTGAGCTAAACGCTCAGTAGGAAGTGTCTAAGACACACCTCTTGTGACCCCGTGAATCCACACATATAATAGAAAAGCAAGAGAACGGGATCATACAACTCCGGGGATGTAAACCATAACCACAACATCTATTATAAATACAATTGTCGTCCAAGTCACAATAACACCATGTATGCCAATGAAGTGCAAT